ACTTTCTTTTTAAGTTACTTCTATCTCAATTAGTAAAAAAAACGTTGTGATTAAAAGTGATTGACGATAGATAAAACATGTACCAGACACTTACGTCGATGACAGTTTATCACTACATCAATAATAATATGAATATACCTTTAATGGAATGTTGTAAACCTTGAAAACTCCATTAATTATGAAATAAAAATGGTGATTTAAATAAACTCACTTGTAAATTTAAAGTATTTTGCATATCCTAATTGGGTAAAATCTATAATCATGGAAAAAAGACTCTCTGAAGGTATGTACACATTAAAGAAATAAACGTTTACCGTTCTCATAGACTGGTATGAACTGAACTTCAAATAAATCGGTTTAAGAAAAGTAAAATAAAATCAGGTCCTGAAACTTTTTACGAAGCATAATTGAATAACTCATAAATGACTAATAAACAATTTATAATATCAACAGAATTATGGTATGTTTATTTTATAACAGTAGTACAGATAGTCAATCATTTGAGTAATATCTTCTCATCTACCTCCCAAGTTCTTTTTTAAGTCAATCGACCTTTTAAATCAGTTAAAGCCAAAAAATGCCTTTGTTTAACCTTTTTAAACAATATCTAAGTAAATAGCAATCACATTTGACCATCTATATAAATTCTCTTATTTGCAAATTAAAGAATACTATTAGATAAACTAAAGAGTGGACCATTTTCCAAAAAACTTTCAACATTATTCTGTTACCTAAAGCAAAATATATTGTGTTATAATTAAACTCATAATCTTAATATCATATGATTTGTGGAGATTGCTGAATTTTACATTTTAAATCACTATTTGATCTAAGTGAAACAATCAGTGAAAGTGAAGAAGCACTGGAGGACTGATTCATCGTGGTATGATACTCTTCAATTGTGTGTATCCACGACCTCATCTGACACTGAACATTGGACCCACAGATCTGTCTGGGGACACTTAACCTCTAGACCATTGAGATGCTGTACAATTTTTTATTTATTTGAACACATCAATATTGGTACAAAGTAGTACCAAACAGATATGCACCATAAATCATCATTTGATTTGTGTGTGAGGGTCGAGATACTGCCCCGGGTATCCAGGCCAAAGCAGGTGATTTTCTTAGGGGGCCATACCCAGGGCCTTCGACCCAAAGGTCTAATCCACAAGGCAGTGGTGTAACGTAAGGAGATGCAGTCCCATGGCAGCCGGTGACTAACGATTGGTTCATACGCCACTTGTTTCCTTAGGATCCTGGAGCCCCTATGCACCATTTGTTTGGAATCGGGGTTTTCTTACTCCCCTAGGCGAGTCCTCCATATCCGCCAGCCCGGTTAAGGCGTTGGACATTCGCTTTTCGTCCACTCAATTTCGAAAACAACAATGATGCCGCGAGAAAGCAGTGAGTAGGACTTCCCTGGCAGAGGCTATGTATGCGTGGCCATGTGAGAGCATTTGGAGATGGAGTGTTGACTCTTTCCACCCTCGGTCGTACCAGGGAATTTGGGGGCGATGCTATACAAGGCCTTACATGATGAACTTTAGTGAGTTCGTGATAATGCTCAATCGTCCTTCAGTGTAAATAATTAGGTAACTGCCTCACACTCCGTGTGGCCATAGCTTCTCATTAAAATGCCGAAAATTAATTCTCGAAATTCCTTACTAATGAGTACATAACTATGAGTAGTATGAAGTATTTTCAGAGAGTATTGACCATGATGTGAAAATCCTATTACGTAGACTTCTAGGTCATATCCTTACAAGTAAATGATGATATAATGTAGTTTATAGTTTAACAAAATGATTTCAGAATTCTTATATAATACCTCATAATATTACAAAGTTCACATTATCATTTATTTGAATTATTCAAGAAAACATGGTTACCTTTGAGTAACATTGATTACAAACAACAAACTATCGTTATATTTCAGTAACATATCAAAAGCAATTTTGTATTGGTTGTTTAAGTCTTCCCATGGATGTTTAGGATTGCAATTGATCAGCTTCTCATTAACATATGTGCATTCTGTGCCTCGATATTGCCTTTGGTCACAAGCATTATAAGCTTAAATGGTGGCTAGCAGTGTAATCCAGGATAGGCGTTTCGTTTTGAGCTCTGGAGTGAACATCAATTCTGGGATTCAAGTACATCCAGCTGATGAGTCTCAAATAAAACAAAACGCACGTCCAGGATTCTACTGCTATCCACGATCATCTCAGCTTATGTCAAAAGTATGCTGGATATTAATATGTTTAAAAAATTTCAGGAAAGTGTGTTAAGTTGAGTAGTGTTTAATGCATACAAAGAAATTTGCAGTATAGTGAATGAAAAACATATCCAAATATAAAAATTTCCGTTTAAAAAATTAAATACATTCTTTTTGTGATTTTTTCTAAATCATTGTTACCATGGTTACCTAACTGCCTTAACTAATGAAATAGTATATTCGTCTCACTGATTTTATTACCGTGGTAACAATCATCAAGAAATTTTGTTACTACAACACTTCTATTACAATTAAAGTTATTAAATGTAAGAATTGTGAGAAATATACTACACATGTAAAAGTCCGTAAACATTGTACAATAGATATTCTTCACCCCATTGATTGAAATCAAAACGTTATCGTGTAAAACAAGTTTTGAGCATATTAAAGTTATTACATCTCATCACATTAAATCCTCAATAACTAAATTATGCCTTCACAGAAATTGATTTTCTAACCATTAGATCCCTAAATCCTAAAGTTTTTTTTCAGTTTTCCATCCTATATAGTTTTTCTATGAAACGGTCTTTTCAATAATTTACTTTTTTTTTAAAAGTATGTAAAGCATCACGAAATGGTATTACTCTGTTACAAACTTATATGATGGATATCAGTTACAAAAAGACCTTTAGACATTTAGATATCATCAATATAACTCATATAAAGTTAGATGATCAGTTATTAGTTTTCTACTGTCCGCAAGTTCGCGGTACGAAAAACGTTTCATAATGAAAATCTTTTAATAACTGACCACAACGACCATGAAGGATGGATTATCACAAGTGAGGAATTTAAAGTCCAGATATTAGTCTACTTGCTTCTGTGAAGCTAGGTACTTAGATCAATTATCTATCCCATCTGTTCATTACAGGTGTGACTATCTCTTAGTATGATTTAGTTTAAAACTATTTAGATTGGTTAAGTTCTATATTTTCTTACATCTACTTGGCTTAAAGATTTCAGCGTCATTTACGGTTTAATTACAACAAAAAGTAACAGAGAAATGATTCTCATATCTTAAACTGCTATTGGATTAAAAAACTTCCAGTTTGGATAATGAATGAAATCATCTTTTTATAAATACACCATTGATCATTTTTCTTAACATTGAATCAACCAACACATAACGTGAACATTTACTAATTACGGTTCTCAGTAAATTGGTTTTTAAATTAAATCATCCCAAATCACTAACTAATGTATAAATAAAATAACAGGTTCCACGTAATCGCATATCTTTCAAATTTTCGGTGGCTAATGAATAAATCCTAGTAACAAGTTAGTTACTAAACATGTGTGGTGTGGGTTACTTATATCCATATAGGTAGTAAATTACGGTGGTCAGGCATAGAACGAAAACGGAACGTGACTGGTATGAAAATGCATGAACAATGAAATCTGAGTTCATGGGCTGATATTTGCAAAGGAACAGTCAAATTTGAGACGATGGATTGATATTTTGTAATTTCGTATCCAATACATTAGGTTGTCACCACTCGTGTTCTTGTTCACTACATATGTACATCTACTACTGAAGATTAGTTAACCACTATTACTTCTAAGATAATCAACCATACATTGTTAGTTCCTAGATAATCACTTAAAGACTGAACACTTTATTTCTATCCACAAACATATTAATGATTAAGATGTGTCTTTTTCTTTAAAAAACTCCTCATTAGTTCAATTACTCTTTGAAACATACAGATGATGACTGTTATTGTATGATTCTTAATCCTTTTTAAAGATTATTTATTTATTGAATGGTTCTACTTTCAATGAATTAGAAATGTATCATCATTAGGAATAATTAGAATATTTTCGAAATCTGCAACTTAAAAATACCTTAAAGCTAAACAGAAAAGTTGATCATCACTCAATTACTCTGTGCTTATCTCCGAATCCACTTTATCATGCTCATTGAGAAACCCATCAATTCATATTTTTTTCTTTTACAGTCTTATGTTCTACGGTTTCTATGAATTTAAATCGAAACAGAACCACCAGAGTTTTTAAAGTAAAGGACGTTTGTGTTTAATAGGTTTTTTCGATATTCACAATGGTTCCACCAGTATGACATCAGGCGTGATGCTGATACAAGTTGATAAGTTGGCGGCCTGCTGGAATATCTAACCTACCTGTCCCTGTCATCTAGATATTTCAACTAGTCATCTGTTTTCTTGTTTGTTTTAACACATCATTATGTCTATTGAGTGCACAGACTATTCAGGCGCGCTTATGAAAAGTTTACAACATTGTCCTATACAGGTTACAAAAAGGTACAATCAGCGACATCATGTTGGCTGGTAATATGCATTGAAAAGAACGAACATTATACAGATGTCGATTTCTGGACTCCTAACATCTAACTGGCGATCACTCAATATTTATCGTCAGGATCGATCAAGAAATAAGAAAAGGAGACTTGTTGAAATACTTTGTGCTGAGGATTCTATATTGTACCAAAAATATAATAGCGAATAAAGTTAATAATAATAATAATAGTAATAATAACAATAATAATAATAATAATAATAGTAATAATAACAATAAATACCTATAGGATTTAAAACCATGTAAAAAGCAGTACTTTATTATTACAAGCAGATTGTTTTTACGACTTAGAGCACGGAAGATCCTTTTTATAACATCTGAAATGAATTTTTATTCATCCACTTAATTATTCATCCCATCAATCTATTTTTTTAAAAATCTTTTCTTCTAGTTGGAATCATATTTGCCTTACCAATAATCATATTTCAAGTATTAATACCAGCACCAAGGGATGACATATTGCCGGATAATATCACATTACTTAGCACTACTTCTACAGATATATCAAATAATACTTATTATCTAACAGAGATACCACAAATATATACTTCAACAAGTAAACAAACTCATGATTTAATTACAACATATCTTAATATCAACAATAATAATAATTACAATCAAGAAGTATTTTGTCGAGAACAATTTCCAACTCAATCAAGTCGTATGGGTTATCAACTTTTTGTTCTACTCTCAACTTATGTACTTCCATTTGCATGTATTCTAATTTTAAATTCTTGTATTGTGCTAAAATTAAAACAAAAAGTAAGTTCGTTTTAATATTCAATAATTTCTGCATTTGAATTCATTAAAAACACAAATGAATATATTTCAGTATACATACCTACATTAATTTATTTATCTACGTAGATTTTTAACGAAGGAATTTTTAATACTAATTTAGTTACAAAGTTATCAAGAAATCTGTAAATACACTTGGTATTTCAATAGTTCAAATCATGAGTCAATTGAAGCTAGACCATCATGGAAAATCTGGAAGCACTGGACAGCGGTTTCGTTCTATTGTGGGACTCCTCAGCAGTGCGCATCCACGATCACGCCACACGGGATGCGAACCCAGGATCTATCAGTCTCGCGCGCGAGCGCTTAACCACTGGATCACTGAGCTAGCCGGCATCCAGTGGTGTGTCTAACTTGATATTGTTTGCTTGTATCTTCCCATTGTTGTTTAGGACTGAAATTGATCGGTCTCTTGCTGATATATGTGTATTCTATGCGGACTGCCTCGACATTAATTTACAAGCGTTATAAATAAAGATGGAGGGTGGACAACAGTGGAATTAAAGAGTGATTATCAACTCTGAGATGCATGTACATCCAGATGACGAGTGCCAGAGTAGGACGAAACGCACATCCTGGATTCCATTACTAACCATCATCCATCTTTATTTACAAATCTATAAATAATTTTAATTAATTATTTTTAACGATAAATATACAAAATCGATTCAGTTGTCAATCATTTGGTTACACATATAAAACTGTTATTAAACAATCACCTTAGATTAATTTTAAGTGACATCAAGTTTTTGATGGAGTTTTGTCCTCTGAACTGGATGGTTTGGTCGTGGAGCTTTCATCGTTCTTCTGAACGACATCATCAGCACAAACTTCAGGTAGAGATCAAGTGTTAATTTCGGTCGATGTATTGTTCAAATACTAAAGTGGAAATAAAATTCTAATAACTTTTGTTGTGTCTAAAATTTTCATTAAAATGAAAGTTATTTGATTTCGTTTTACTGAAGTGTTAAAGTTTTTAAAAATAACCCATGTAAAATGTATTGTATCGTCAGCAGCTCTCATCTGATCATTATACCGTATTTAAAGATACATTTCATTTTACTTGGTGAGAAGTTAGGACGTTTGGCATGATATTTTACTAAAAAAATATATAGATGTCTTACACCTTGAAAGTTTAATATTCAAAATCAGACATGATAATGATGAAGAAATATACACATTAAACGTATGTTACATAAGTCATGTGCAGTTACCTTTCTCGGTCTGCGATAAGAGATTCGCTAACAATATTCACAGAAACTTTAAAGCACTTTAATAACCATTAGCTATAACACACTATGTACATTGTACAAATTTTAATTACTATACGAGGGAACCATTTTAGTCTGATCACAATAAAAATATGAAAAGTTTTTTTTAATTATACCATAGGTGACTATTTATTATGCACATTAACAGACTAAAGATTCATCCTGAAGTCGTTTACGAGATGGAATAACACTAAAACAACTGTGATTTAAATTTATTATTCGCACCTATCCTGTAATAATGAACAATTCTTCACAACTTCCCCTACCGCACTCCTTAAACTTGTCGTCTAATATTATTACTCGATTATTATTATTTATAAGTCAAGAATTTGTTTAGCCATTGCCTTTTTAAATAACAACGAGACCTAGTAATCTCTCTATCACCAGTTCAAGTTCTTACGTGGCTAGAACCAGAGATAACCTGTTTTTCAGCATGCTATATCTTTATACATTTGAACACAGGAAATGTTTATACCTAGGTATATTGAACTAGTATTTTGATAACCTTTAAACCAATTACTATTTTTTAAATATTTTTGATCTTACCCTCAAAATCTATCGTTAGGGTTAAAGAAACGGGAACCACAATTGTTTTAAAGTCATTTATAAGTTGGTTGTTTTCTGCTTAAAGAAAGTTATGTAACTTCGAACTAAAACGTAACCAACCAGTTGTCATGTATTAATATTTCTACTTTTATACCGCTCCAGCGGTATAAATGGTTCTCTACTGCTGAAAAAAATATGACCGTACTAGTTTTAAAACGAACATCACACATACTGGGCTACTTTAAAAAATATCACGTCTTAATTTATGAGACTGATTTTGATGGCTTAAATGTTTAAAAATATATACACAGATACCAACACTCATTGATCTTCATTTAGTTAGCCTCTTACATTATACAACGATGGAATATATCGAATGTCATCGAACATATGTTGCATATCACAACTTACGTAAATGTTTATTACTGACTGTTAATTCTATCGAAGCGTCCAAATAACCCCGATTGAGATACGCGCAAAACCGAAGTTCAAAAACAACGATTTGTCTACAAAAGCGATTCAGAAAAAACGTTCAGAATTTGGTCGGAATCCTGTTTGGTTCATTCATCCCGACGATGACACAAAGTGAGAAGAACTAGGAAGCATATTGTTTGCTCTTGGTACGAGTTTCGGTTGTTCATAAACTGTTACCAAATTTAGACACAGCTATCGGCTGTCTTTGGACTATCGTATGTTGTAATCGTTCTTTATGTTACTCTTACAGGAAGCCTTTGCTATTTTCATTCTTAAACGACGCGTTTAAACGCCTAGACACCTCACAAGTTGAGGTTTGTAACTAAATTTTGTGTATTATTTAATAAAGAACCGCCTTTGTAGACAAATCGTTGTTTTGGAACTTCGATTTTGCGCGTATCTCAATCGGGGTTACTTCGACGCTTCGATAGAATTAACACTGACGTTCATCACATAGACTGAAAAATTCAGTAGATGTCAGTGGGAAGCAACAATTGTAAAACTCAACTATTTGAAAACTGTAGGTTAAGCAAACTAAAGAAGTCAATCACACAAAATGTCAACTGCACTATAGACCTGAGGTTTTCACGTTCAGTTCACAAGTAGCACGAGTTTATGATGATCATCCTAAAAGTAAGATGTTTCTTTCCAAAATGATTAATGGTAATCGCCAGATAGTCTTTAACATAAATCTTATGATAGTATTTATCAGTAGTAAATATTAGTGGCTAATAAATGATTAGTTATTGTCAATATTCTAGTTTAATAGAAAGTCAATCACTTATCTTCTATCACCAGTGAATTCTCTAATTGGGATATTGAGAATGGAATGTGTATCTTAATCTCAAAGGAAATAAAAATTTGATCAAGGTTGAAGACAGATAACTTTGGTAAGCGTTGACTATCATAAAATATAAGTCTAGGACGTCTTGTTGATTTTGTGTTCATACCTAACACCAAACAACATGTACTTGGACATTAATTCACTTTAACTAGTGACCATATTGCAATTCGATTGAGAGAATTTGATCAATACTTAGGACTAAACAAACATAATCATGACTACTACTCGATTATTGGTCAATATGAATCCATCTACACAGAAATAGAAAGATAGATAAGTAAAATGAAGATACATTTTAAAGATAGTATTGTAAATAACTTCAATAATCAATTATATATGTATATCCTCATTTCTACTCCACTGAAAGAAGTTTCAATTAATATTAGATTTATCAATTCCTTTTCCAGAGAAATGTATACTGAAAATTGTATACACATTACTGTATTTCAATAAGTAATTCAACATGAAGCGGTTTTTCCCTTCTCAGAATACATGAATTAGGAAAGTGAAATAAATGCGGTAAAACAAAAGAGTTTAAATAAGCGTTGAGATAGTATTAGATAGTTTCTTAATCAAAGGTTTAGTAGTGCTTTCACATGAACTGTTTGTATTCACTAACAAAATAATACTGATCAGAAATTATAAATTAAGTCAATCAAAATGTAGTGGACATTGGTTTTAGATCATCAATTATATTGTTATACATTAAAGTGTTTAATGTACTCATTAGATCTAATGTAAACAGTGATTTCTGTAAAATGAAGCATAAAATCAATGTATTTAGTTGTTATTTAAATTAACTATCAGTTAATAAAGTGATTATTTTTCTTTTGTACTTACCATATATAATAATCATATTTAAGTAACAGTGAACATGTTAAATTGTAGTGTTTAGTACTATGTCAAGCCCACATAGATTATTTTACCTTCCGGATAGACCAATTCATACATTCTATCGGAGTCACATTTTAGTGTTGTTAATTATTCACTTATTAATCTTGACTCCTTTTATATAAGCGTATATGTGTTAATTGCTTACCTTATTTATTACGTGTCTGTAACTTACTTTTGTTTGACTATAAATATTAAGTTACTCTTTATCAAAACAAGTTGGCTCATTTGTCTTCTCAGCCTCACTTTGTTTCCAATTTTTCCTACGACAATCTCCGCTTCGTATGGCTTTCCCATATATATATATATATATTTGAATCTTAGTCATTGACTCGACTCTTGGTGTAAGTCTTAATTCGCCTCTGTATTCGTTCACTCTCGCGCATTATCTTTTCTGGTCTAATTCACTTGATGCTTGTAACTTACTGACTTATGTTATTCGATAGTAAACTGTAGTCGGTACTTTGTGTTACCTTCTGAATTCATACACTATTAGGATTTATTTGATAATAATTATCATGGCGATTGATATACGAAAATTAAAGAATGATTACAAAGTTAATCCACTATAAAATAACATTTGATATTCGATTATTTTATATGATCTAATGAAGAACATCTTGTTATACATAACATATTTAATTTCTTTATTTTTTTCAAACAGCCCACAATTTTCTTTTTTCAAATCAGAAACCATTCAATATTCAATATTCACGCAATTTTCAAATATTTCAAATTTTATATATGATTAGTATGGTAACCTTATCTATAAACTAATTTAGGTTATCTTAGTATTTCATTATATATCTTCATTATATTAGTTATTTACAACTTTCTATTATTTTTTTTAAAAGTTTCAGTTTTAACCAATAAATAGTAGAAACCCTCTTTTTATTTTACTTTATTTATTTATTTTATTTAAACAAAAAAATCTGGCT